TAATTTATCAAACTTTTTTAGGATTCGACACAAGTTGGTTCGCTTAGCTATCCAAGCATTCCAAGTTCTCAAACTCTTTTTGAGATTTCACTTCAATATCTAGACTTTCCAATTTCTCAAAACTTTTTTTTGGCTTTAACTTAGTTCTCCAAAGTTTTCTATTTCTCAAAATTTTTTAAAGATTTCACTTTTGTTCAAACTTTTATTTCCCAACCTTGTTTGAAGATATTACTGTAATTGTCAAACATTCCAGTTTCTCAAACTTGTTTTAATATTTTTTTCACTTTGACTTAAGTTGACAAGTTGGCTTGTTTTGCATTTCATTTACTCTCCACACTTACAAACTTTTATGACATTTCACTTATATTTTAAAAACTTTACTCAATTTCTCAAACTTTCTTTGTGTTTTCAAACTTGCCAATTTTTTGAACTTTTTTTTCCTACATTTGACTTCTATTTTAAAACTTTCAAATTTCTTTGAAAAGTTATCTATGGTTTATGTAATAAAACCACTTCTATTAATTTTTCAGATATCATTTCACATGTTTACATTGATCTAAACCTTTTAATTTTTCAAAATTTTTTCAAGTTCTCAAAATTTTTTTGGAATTTTTTAAAAACTTGTCAATGATTTATATGACAAAATGACTGTCACATAATTTTTAAATAACATTTTCACATGTTTACAATTTGCCCAACCGTTCAATTTTTCATGCTTACCAATTTGTCAAACTTTTTGTGACATTTCACTTAAAATTTAAAATTTCCTATGTCGAAATTTTTTCAGCAGTTTTAATTAAAAAAACATCCAACGAATTTTACTATACCATTTTCAGACATTTACATTTTTCGAACTTTCCATTTTCTCAAACTCTTTTGACATTTCACTTTTATTTCTCAAACTCTTTAAAGATTTCATTTTAATTTTCAAACTTTTCAATTTGTGAATTTTTTTTCACCTTGACATTAGCTTTGTTTTGCATTCGCTTAGTTATACTAACTTTCCTATTTCTCAAACTTTTTTTTAAGATTTCACTTTAATTATCAAACTTTCCAATGTTTCAAATTTTTTTTGATATATCACTTCTATTTTCCAACTTACCAATTCCTTAAAAAGTTTCCACTTTATTTAAGATTTCACTTTAATTTTCGATTTTGCGAAATACAAGTACTTAGAAAATAATAGTTTTTACAAGTACTTTTTTTCACTCTAACATAAGTTGAGTGGTTGACTTGTTTTGCGTTTCACTTAGTTCTCTAAACTTTTCAATTTTTGGACATTTCACTTCCAATTTCAAATGTCCCAATTTCTAAAGCCTTCTTCAAGTTTTCAATTCAATTTCTCATACTTTTTTGACATTTAACTTCTTTTTTAAACTATACATATTCTTTGAAAAGTTGTCATCCGTTAAAACAATTAAATGAGTTCCCCAAAAATTTCAAATACCTTTTTACATGTTTACATTTTTTTCAAATCTGACATTTTTTTCTCATTTTTTGTCAAGCTTACCAATTTCTAAACGTTCTTTGACAGCTCACTTTAAATTTAAAATTTTCAATTTTGGAAGATTTTTAATAGTTTAAATAATAAAATAACTTTCACTTTAAACTTTCTTGTTTTAAAAAATTTCCAATTTCTCAAACTCCTTTGACATTTCTCTTTAATTTGTAAAACTTTCAAGCTGTCACAATTTTCCAATTTTTTGCAAACATTCTTGAGATTTCACTTTTATTTTCAAACTTTAAAATTTCTCAAACTTTTCTCAAGTTATCATAACTTTACAACTTTTTAAATATTTTTTCTCACTTTGGTATAAGTTGACTTGTTTCATGTTTCTATCTAGTTCTCCAAACTTTACAGTTTTTATGGACATTTCACTTTAATTTTCAAACTTCCCAATTGCTCAACCTTTCCAATTTCTCAAACATTTTTCATATTTTACTTATATTTAGAAGTTTATGTTTTCTTTGAAAAGTTTACAACAGTTTATATGATAAAATGACTTTCACATAGTTTTCAAATACCATTTTTACATGTTTACATTTTTTCAAACCTTTCAAGTTTACTAACTTCTCAAACTTTCTTAACATTTTGCTTTAATTTAAAATTTTACCATTTCGAAAATTTTAAGCGGTTTAAATAAAAAAGCAACATCCATCTAATTTTGAAACACCATTTTTAGACGTTTACATTTGTCAAACTTTCCATGTTCTCGATCTTTTTTCTAGTTTTTAAAACTTTTCAATTTCTCAACCTCTTTTGACATTTCCCTTTAATTTCTCAAACTTTCATGTTTTCATAACTTTCCAATTTCTCAAACATTTTTGAGATTTCACTTTAAATTTTTAACTTTCCAATTTCTTAAACTGATGTGAGTTAGACTTGTATTGCTTTTGCTTAATTTCCCTATCTTTCCAAGTTTTTATAATCTTTATTTTTCACTCTGACAAATGTTGACAGGTTAACTTGTTTTGCATTTCACTTAGCTGTGTAAACTTTACAATTTTTTGGACGATTCACTTTCATTTTCAAATAACCTAATTTCCAAAAGCTTCTTCAAGTTTTCATACTTTCCAATTGTTAATCTTTTTGACATTTAACTTCTATTTTAAACTATCCATTTTCTTTGAAAAATTGTCGATGGTTATAATAATGAATTGAATTCCCCAAAATTGTCGATCTTTTTCATACTTTTACATGTTTATATTTTTGGAAAACCTTTTTTTTTCTTTTTTTTCCACTATTTTGTTTCTTTTTTTTGGTCAATGAAAAATTTTGTATTCATTAAAACCAATTGTAAAGTTTATGTACATCACATCTCTCTATTTGAGATATCTATTTACATTTTGAAGACAGAAACCTGAAAATACAAAAAACTAACTGTAGCACACTATCCCTATAATGAAATCAGCCAGTCTTTGAGCTCAGGAGGGCTAGAGTTGTTTAGAGAAATGGTTAACAACTCCACCTTAATTTCTTTGATCAGCACTTCTGGAGCTCTACACATTTGCTTGAAAATTCTCTCATTTCTATCTTTCCAAATACAATAGACTGAAGTGGACAAAGTCATTCTTTTAAATCTTTTTTTGAAACCCCTCCCCTTCAATCTGTTGCAATACCAGTTTATAAGCAAATTCCAATCACAGGTTCTCCATTTGAATTGAAGCCAATTTGTAATCCTATTCCAGACTTCTTGAGAGAAGGAACAAGAGAAAAAAAGATGATTTCTATTTTCCGAATTGGTACCTGAGCATAGGCTGCAGCAATTAGATGGAATAATTCATCTGCTTTGAAGTTTGTCTTGAGTAAGAAGCTTGTCTTGGATTGCTAACTAGAACACAAAATTGTGTTTGGGGTAATTCCAGTTCTCCCAAACTGTGTCATGCCAGAGAATTTTTGTAGATACTGGAGAAGGGGCATTATACAGGCCCGAAGTGTGTATTTTGGAGTTCTTGCTACAGGAGCTAATCACACTCTTCAAATTATCAATTCCTCCACAAACTGAGATGGCTTTGTTCCTGGTTTTTAGAAGCTGTTTCCATAACCAGGAGTCATTCCTCTTGCTTTCTACATTCCACACATCTCCATTTCTAATATAGTTACCATGCACCCATTTGATCCACATAGACTCTTTGTTTTCATGAATGGACCATAAAGTTTTCAGAACTGCAGCCATGTTCCAAGCAATTGCAGAAAATATGCCTAAACCACCATATATTTTACCAGTGCAAACTTTGTCCCAAGAAACCAATGGAGGTCTGAGCACTTGATCTGTTCTACCCCACAGAAAGTTCCTACAAAGCTCATCAATTCTCTTTAACACCTTAACTGGTAAGACATAGCATGAAGTCCAGAATACTTGAGTGCCTAAGATAACACTCTTTATAATTTGCAATCTACCCGCATAAGAGAGCTTTCTATGATTCCACCAGTTTTGAAATTGGTTTGAAATTTTATTGATAAGAGGAGAACAATCAACATACGAAAGTCTTTTGCATATAAGTGGAACTCCTAAGTATCTTATAGGCAAGGTACCTTCAGGGAACCCCAAGAAATTTTGAATAGAAGCTTTGATAGATTCATCAATTCCCCCAAAATAAATTGAACATTTGCTTTGATTTGCTTCAAGACCAGAGATGACACTGAAATTTGATAAACATTGTTGCAGACACTTTATAGAGCTCAAGTCCTGAACAATAACAAGTCATCGGCAAAGATCAAATGTGTAATTTTTAATTTTCCACATTTTGGATGAAACTTGTATGAACTATCTTGCTTCAATTTATCAAGGCTCCTAGAAAGATACTCCATGCCAAGGATAAACAAGTAGGGGGAGAGGGGGTCTCCTTGCCTTAGACCTCTTTCCCCTTTAAAATATCCATAAAGTGTACCATTAAGAGAAATAGAGTACTTTGGAGAGGTTATGCATGCCATGATCCATGTTATCATCTTTTTTGGAAAACCAAGTCCATTTAACATATCCTCCAAGAAACTCCAACTGATAGTATCGAAGGCTCAATATTCAGCATAGTCCTTGGAGAAATAGTCTTCCTACCATAATTCTTGACAAGCTCATGTGCTAGCAAAATATTATTTGAGATCTGCCTTCCTTTAACAAAAGCACACTGAGCTTCATTTATGAGACAACCAAGTATATGTTTGATTCTGTTGGTAAGAATCTTTGAAATGAACTTGTAGATACAATTACAACATGAAATTGGCCTGAAATCTGAAGGGGATTTAGGACAGTTTACCTTGGGTATTAGGGTAATTGATGTAGCATTTATTGCACCCAAAAGCTTTCCAGATTTAAAAAATTCTTCAATGGCATTTGTAACCTCCTCTTCAATAATTTGCCAAGTAGACTTGTAGAAGGAAGCACTGAAACCATCAGGGCCTGGGCTTTTATTGTCAGACAAGGAGAAAACTGCATTTCTTATCTCATCTTTGGAAACAGGAGCAGCTAAGCAACTTGCTTGGACATCATTCAGACAATATCTCATCTTTGGAAACAGGAGCAGCTAAGCAACTTACTTGTTACAACTGCAGTACCCATGACGTTCTTGAAAAAAGAAGTTAACTCATTTGCAATATTATCAGCCTCAGTAATCCTTTCACCAGAGCTGTTGTAGAGAACCATGATTCTTTTGTGGTGTCTATTAGATTTGATGACAGAGTGGAAATAGCTGGTGGACCTATCCCCTTGTAAGCTCCAAGCAATTTTAGCTTTTTGTTGGAAGAAGGACAATTCACAATTCAGGAGTTTGTTATAGGAGGAAATACTGCATTTTTCTTGACTGATGAGGACTGGGTTGAGGGGATCATTTTGTATCTTTTTTTGAATATCCTCCACCTCCAGCCTAGCTTTATTCACCTGATCACAGATATTGTAGAAGTGCACCTGATTGAGGTTCTCTAATGCACCTTTCAAAAGTTTGAGCTTTGAGTTTACAGAGAACATTTTATACCCTCCAATGTGAGATTGCCAAACTGAAGAAACAGTAGGAAGGAAACTGGAATGATTGATCCATATTTTATAGAACTTAAATGGCTTTTTACCTCTGATTTCTTCATCATATATAGATATAAGGCATGTAGAATGATCTGAGAAGCTTGGGAGTAAGTACTCAACATGACTGGAATTAAAAATCTGGATCCAAGAATCATTAACAAGGGATCTATCCAATCTACTCCAGACTCTAGTGGCAGAGTCCTGTTTATTGTTCCAAGTGTAGAAACATCCCAATGTTTTTAAGTGGGAAAGCTGACAATCCTCTGTGAATGATCTAAAGTCCAAGATATCAGCATCTGTAAGCATAACACCACCTAATTTTTCTTCATTTCCCAGCACTGCATTAAAATCTCCACTAAGAAGCCAATGTGAGTTACCAATCACTTGATGGATCTGGTACAAATCTAACCAAAGCTCTTTTCTCATTTCCATATGATTAAAACCATAAATTGAAGAGATATAACAGTCCACCCTTCCATCAGTAGAACAAACTTTGCAAGTGATATGTTGGGCTGAGAAACCAGAAATTTGTAAATCCAGAATATTAGGATCCCATAGCATCAAAATCCTAGCAGTGCATGTACTGTTTGCATTTGAGAACCATCTCCAGTTGGCTGCAATTCTTTTAACTATTTCAGGCAGTTTCCCTTCCTTAATTTTGGTTTCCAGTAGAGCAACAAAAGATATATGGTATTGATGAATGTGTTGCTTAACTAGATGTTGTTTAGGAGATTTATTTAATCCCCTAACATTCCAAAAGGAAAGGTTCATCTTGGTAGACCCCCTCTGTCTATATTAGAGGGATCCAATTCACTAGTCAAGTTCAAAAGAGGAGAAAAAATATTTGCTGGTCCTTTGCTTTTACTCCCTTGAACTTGGATCCAAGGTCTTTGATTGGGGTCCTTGCCACTAATAATCACAGGATCAGGAGATTGGGCATGCATAACATGCACTTCACTTTGAATAGGATTCTTGTCATTATTTCTCAAAAGAACAGGAGACTGGACATGCACAGCATGCACAGAAGAACTGTTTTGTACCAAGCCATCTTTTGAAGATATTTGAGCTGAAACAGGTATCACACCACTTCCCATATTTTCAGAGTTCAAATCTTTTGAATTTTCCAGAGTATTACTAGCCTTTTTATTTCCTTGACCAGCTTGATTTACAACTTCTTTTTGTTTTGGAATCCACATCTGTACTGTAGGATGTTTTTTTACAAAATTTAGTGTCATGTCCAACATTCTTACAATATTCACACCATCTTGATTTGAATTCATATATCACTTTCTGAGCATATTGTAAACCATCAGGACCTTGAATAGAAATAGAGTCTGGTAGTGTAGAAGGCAAGTCAACTTCAATTAAAACCCTAGCATATGCCAATCTCTGCCTGTTGGCAGTGAGTTTATCTGTGGCAATAGGACGTCCAATGGCACTTGCTATCTTGCTAATCCCCTTTGTATTCCAAAGATTTAATCTCAAAGCAGGGAACTGAATCCACATAGGATATTTACACTCATTAATCTTTTTAAAACCTTTAACAACTGACCAAAGTTTCAACAAGATAGGTCTTGATCCAAAAAACCATGGACCATTTAAAAGGATATCATTCATTTCCTCTTTATTCTTGAATTTGAAGAGAAACACACCAGCTTTAAGGAGACTTATATCAGGCATAGCCAAAGGTGCCCAAACTCTGCTAACATAATTTTCCATAGCTTTATATTTAACATTCAGACCCATCACTTGACCCACAAGGGAAAATTACCAAATAAATGCTCCCTCTAACCATTCTTCTTCATTAAAAGTTACTACATCTTTAGAACAAGATGGAATGAAGCTCAGATCCAGACCACTACCTATTTTCCTGTTGTCAGCAAAGAAACTCGCCCAGCTTCTATTAGTAGACAGATTTTGAGTCGAAGCAGAGTTTCCATCTATCATTCCCTTAGATCTATCATGATCAGCACTAATAACGTGTTCATGATTATCAACAGTAATAAACGGAATAGTATTTCTATTAGTGTTTAAATTTGAAATCAATGGCATAGCATCAGAACCATCATTCGATTTTGGATCTGATCCAGAGGGATTGATACATTCGAAGCAATCTCTAGATCCAGATCATCAGCCCAAAATACTCTTGATGAACTTCCAGCTCCATTTAAAGAGAAAGGGGAATTATTAAGATTTCTCACCCAAACTCCATTCTTTTGAGCTTCACTTTGAGATCCACAAGATTCAAAGATTTCCGCCATGGTCTTCTTCTTTTTCTCACCCTTTGGACTAGTGGAACCCATTATACTAGAAGAAAACTCTTCATCATTCTCATCAGATCTCAAATCAGAGAGCTCCACAGGAGAGAGCAAACTAGAATTAGAAGCACGAAGACCAATGCTGAAGATCTTCTTCCCACTGTTCTTCTTCTTCCTCACCATGAAAACTCGGCAGTGGTGCAAGTTAGCAAAGCATAGATCGCCCACTAACTTACGCCATCAGAACTGCCCCATTTTTATCAAACTATTTTGTTTCTTGCTTACCAATTTCTCAAACATTTTTGACTTTTATATTTAATTTTAAAATTTTCCATTTTTGAAAGATTTTAAAGGGCTGATATTACAAAATAGCTTTCACCATATTTTCAAGTTCCATATTCTCACGGTTATATTTTTCAAACTTAAAGTTTTCATATCTTCTGAATTTCTTAAACATTCTTCAGATTTAACTTTAATTTTCAGACTTTAAAATCGTTCAAACCTTTTTTCAAGTTGCACAATCGTACAACATTTTGAATATTTTTTCTCACTTTGATGTAAGTTGACCTATTTTCCATTTCGCCTAGTTCTTTAAACTTTACAGTTTTTCTAGAGTTTTTACTTTAATTTTCGAACTTTAAAATTTCTCAATCTTTTTTCACATATAACTTTATTTTAAAACTTTCCATTTTCTTTGAAGTGAATGGTTTATATGATAAAAATGACTTTCAATTAATTTTCAAATACCATTTTTTTGTGTTTACATTTTTCAAGTTTATTTAATTTCTCATTGTTCTTTAACATTTCACTTTAATATTAAATTTTTACTCATTTTGAAATTACTTCAGCAGTTTAAATAAAAAATATAACTTTTACCAAATTTTCAAATACCATTTTCACATGTTTACATTTGTCAAGCTTTATGTTTTCTCAAATTTTTTAAAACATTCCAATTTCTCAAACTCTTTAGACATTTCATTTGAATTTTAAAACTTTCCCATTTCTCAAACATTTTTTCACTTCGACAGTAGTTTACTTGTTTTGCTTTTGCTTAGTCATCCGAACGTCCCTATTTCTCAAACTTCTTTGAACATTTCACTTTAATTTTCATTTTCCGATTTCTCAAGTCCTTTTTTCAGATTCTGCTTTTATTTTAAAACTTTCCAATTTCTCAATATTTTCCGGTTTGTTTAAGATTTCAGTTTAATTTTTGAATTTGTGAAATACAACTTTTTTACATGCGAAATAATAGCTTTTACAATATCTTTTTCGTCTTACTCTAAGATAAGCTGACAGGTCGACTTGTTTTGCATTTCACTTAGTTATCTAAACTTTGCAATTTGTTGGACATTTCACTTTAATTTTCAAATGTCACAATTTCTATACCTTCTTCAAGTTTTCAACTTTCCAATTTCTCAAGCTTTTTTGGCCTTTTAACTTCTATTTTAAAACTTTTCAGTTTCTTTGAAAAGTTGCCAATGTTTAAAATAATGAAATGAATCCCCCAAAATTTTCTACTACTATTTTTCTATGTTTACATTTTCCAAACCTTTCATTTTTTTCTTTTTTTTTCATGCTTACCAATTTCTCAGACTTTTTGACATTTCACTTTAGTTTTAAAACTTTCAATTTCATTGCCTTAAAAATTTCACAATTTTATAATATTTTCAACAATCTAAATAATAAAACAACTTTCACCAAATTTTCAAGTACCATTTTCTCACGTTTAGTTTTTTTAAACTTTCCATTTTGTTTTTCTTGTTTTCAAAAATTTCTAATTTCTCAAACTCTTTTGACATTTTTCAAACTTTTTTGAGATTTCACTTTATATATGATAAAATGATTTAAAAAAAATTTCTCAAATACCATATTCACATGTCTACGTTTTCCAAATCTTTCAATGTTTCAAGTTTAACAAATTTTCAAACTTTTTTTTGACATAAGTTGAGAAGTTGACCAGTTTTGCATTTCACTTAGCTATCTAAACTTCACAAATTTTTTTGACATTTCACTTTTTGGACATTTCACTTTAATTTTCAAATGTCCCAATTTCTCAGACTTTCTTCAACTTATCAAACTTTCTTTTAACTTTCAAACTTTTTTGAGATTTAACTTTCATTTTAAAACTTTCCATTTTCTTTGAATAGTTGTCGACAGTTAAAAATGAGTTCCCCAAAATTTTCAAATACCATTTTTGCATGTTTACATTTTTCCTAATCTTTTAAATTTTTTTTCTATTTTTTTTTCAAGCTTACTAATTTCTCAATTTTTTTTTGACATTTCACTTTAATTTCAAAATTTTCTAGTTTAATAAGATTTTCCACTGCTTAAATATTAAAATAACTTCCACCAAATTTTCAACTACTATTTTTTCGCGTTTATATTTTCAAACTTTCCATTTTCTCAAACTTTATTCATCTTTTCAATAATTTCAAATTTCTCAAACTTTATTCATTTTCCATTTTTTGACATTTCACTTTAATTTTAAAACTATTTTTTCGCGTTTTAATAGCTTTACAATTTCTCAAACATTCTTGAGATTCCATTTTTGTTCGAACTTTACAATTTCTCAAATTCACTTTAATGCTCAGACTTTCCAATTTATCAAGCTTCATTTCGATTTCACATAAATTTCCGAACTTTCCATTTTCTCAAAAGAATTTTTTTTTCAGTTTTCACTTTGACATGAGTTGACTTTTTTTGTTTTCGCTTAGTTCTCCAAACTTCTCTATTTATCAAACTTTTTTAGAATTTCACTTTAATTCAAACTTTCGAATGTCTTAAGCTTTTTTGAGAGTTTACTTTAATTTTCAAACTTCCAATTTTTGAAACTTTTTTGCAATATCTTCCTTTTTTTTCACTTTAACTTAAGTTTACAAGTAGTGTTGTTTTGCATTTCACTTAGTTCACGAAACTTTACAATTTTTTTGGACATTTCATTTATATTTTCGAACTTCCTAATTTGTCAAACTTTCTTTAAGTTTTCAAACTTACCATTTTCTCAAACTTTTTTAACATTTAACTTCTATTTTAAAAGTTTCCATTTTTTTGAAAATTTATCAGCGGTTTATATGATTAAATGGCTTCTAATTTTGAAATTATTTCAGCAGTTCAAATAATGAATTAACTTCCACCGGATTCGCAAATACCATGGTCCCCTTTACATTTTTCAAACTTTCCAATTTTTGAAAACTCTTTTGACATTTCACTTTAATTTCTCAGACACTTAAGATATTTCATTTTAATTTTCAAACATTCCCATTTTTCAAACATTTTTTCACTTCGATAATAGTTGACTTGTTTGGCTTCTGCTAAGCTATCCGAACTTTCCTATTTCTCAAACTTTTTTTCTGAGATTTCACTTCTATTTTCAAACTTGCCAAATATAAAATTGTTAAATATCATTTTTTTCTTTTTGACATCATTAATATAACTTTCACAACATTTTAAATACTATTTTCACATGTTTATACATTTTTCTTGAACTTTTTAATTTCTCAAACTTCCAAGTTT